ACACCTGCCTTTTCCCTTTTTATGAGTAATTTGTTCTATGGGTATAGGTATTTTGTGTGCATGTCTGTTTGTGCACCATGTGCATGCCTGGTGTCATCAGAGGCCAGGTGAGAGTGTGGAATTCCCTAGAACTGGAGCTACAGAGTGTTGTGAACCAGGAATCTAATCCAAGTTCTCAGGAGAGCAACAACTGCTTTTAAAAACCAAGCTGGTACCGCTGCTATGCTCGAAGGCCTGGCCTGAGCCATGGAGCCACCACTGCTGCTGCCACTAACCACTAACAAGGCCTGCTCTGCTGCCAGGGGAGGGGGAACGGGGGCTAGAGAGCAATGGACTGCGTTGCAACTCATTTTGAACTACCTAGTCAGAGATTTTCCGTTAAAGCAACATTAAATGTTATAAAATAGCAGACCTCAACTGTAGTGTTAGGAGTGGCGGGGCTGCGTCCCCAGCACCCGGCCGCCCGCATGGCTAGTTTATGCCCGAAATAATTACACGGAAACTGTATTCTTTTAAACACTGCCTGGCCTGGCTAGTTCCAGTTTCTTATTGGCTAGCTCTTACATATTGTTCTAACCCATTTCTAATATTCTGTGTAGTCCACGAGGTGGCTTACCAGGGAGGATCTTAACCTGAGTCTGTCTGGAGTGGGAGAACCATGGCGACTCCTTGACTCAGCTTTTTTCTCCCAGCATTCTCTCTGTTAACTCCACCCACCTATGTTCTAACCAATAAAATGGGCCAAGGCAGTTTCTTTATTATAATTAACCAATGTCCTTCCTCCATCATTTCCCCTTTTTCTGTTTAAACAAAAAAAGGAAGGCTTTAAATTAACATTGCAAAATTTCATATAACCAAACAGTTATCAAGCAAGAATTACAGTTATAATATTTATATCTATTTTATCTTTTATCATAACTAAGGAAAACTATAACTATCCATTTATTCTTCAACTCCATCAAAGACTCCAGAAGGATATAATATTACCTAAGCAAATAAGAAAT